GGTGTCAGTAAGTGTGCTAAAAGTTTTTTTTTCTTATGCTAAGCAGCTATTTTATTCCTTAAACAGCTCACAAAGCATACACTGCTGTGACTGCATTCTCTTGGCTTTGAAGTAATTTTAGGCTGAAGAGTCAGTGCAGTGTTTAGAATCACATGGGAATCCCAGTTTGACCTTATTAGAAAGGTTACAAGTTTGGGTTAAAGAGGACAGAATATGCTTTTCTATCACCGTGCAAGGGAAAGGAACAGTGAGAGACATACACTAAGGGAAATTAAGAAAGTTCGGTAGTACAGTAGAGGGAGCAACAGCTGCAAAATCCCTTTTGTACCACAAAGATCCACTTCCCTTTTGCTCACTAGGGTGCAGCCCTGTTCCAGTTTGGAGCACAGGCCCTACCCAGTATGTAGCAAGTGAAAGGAGCCCAGCTACAAACACAAGCTGCTGGTGTTACCCACTTCATCTGTACTCAGCCTGTCACTTGAGAAGAAATCTACTGTGTAGCTTTTGTGGATTGCTCTTGAACACAGGAAAATGTATTCTTCTCCTTTGCAGAGTGATGTCCAGACTGCTAAGGAGTTTATTAAGATAATAGAAAACGCAGAAAACGAGTACCAGGTAAGATCACTGGTGGTTAAATAAACCATGGAATCATATCAGTCTCCCTTTACTGTTAGTGGAAAACCAACCTCTAATTCTGCTTCTGGCTGAATCTGGTGTGGACTAAGAATTACTCAGAAAAGGGCCAGTCGTATTTGTTGAAAGAATCAGGTTTGCTTTGCAGTTATTTTGAAGGGTTACAAGCAGTGCCTGGAACAAGCATGGGAGGGGAGTGGGTGAGTCAGAGTATTTTCCTTTGTGACAGTTAAAAATACCGAAGAGGAAATTTATGCAACAGCTTTTTACATTCTCCCAGCCTGTGTGCAAGGTGACTCGAGAGAGATAAGGCAGTGAAACACCTAAGGAGGTGCTGTTCAGTCACCCTTTTGCTTTTACACACACTGGTGACTGCATTATTAATTTAGTTAATAGCGTGCCTTCACCTTCTAGGAAGGGGTTTGTGGCTTTACCACTGAGCTGTGCTTTCTCAGAGTATCTTATGACTGCCCTGACCCAAGTGCTTGCCCTTGCAGACAGCAATCAGTGAGAACTACCAGACCATGTCAGACACCACTTTCAAAGCCTTACGCCGGCAGCTGCCCGTCACCCGCACCAAGATCGACTGGAACAAAATCCTCAGCTACAAGATTGGCAAGGAAATGCAGAATGCCTAAGGCAGGGGCAGGGAGGTTCTGTGAAATGGTGGTGTGTGCAAAAAAAAAAACACAACAACAAAACAAAAAACAAACGTGGTCCTATGCCAAGTAGGTGGTTCCTAAACCAGAGCAGCATTTTTTTAGGGCTTTCAAAGTTAACAGGTTTTCTGGCCTCAGAGGGAACTGTGGAACAAATAGCGTTGTCTTTGTGTTTTGTGTTTCCTGCCACGTAAACTTCCTGTTGTAATGCATTTAATAGGTCATTTTAATTCAGCCAGTCGTGGCTCCGAGGTATAGCTGTTTTCAATCACTGGTTGGAAAACTTCCTAGCTGGAAAAGCCCTATTGTAACCCCCAGAGGAGGGTGCAGAGCATTCCCTTCACCTGTATTACACCACTCCAGGTACTCCAGTGAGTCTGTCAAACCTGCCAACAGCTCACAAAAGCTGCAAGACACAGTAAATGCAAGACAGTGAGTCCTTGTGTATCCTTATTCCCAACCTCCACGAAGCAGAAGGCCTGCAGGCTTAGATTTTACTGTATAAAATAAGTTTACAGGATCCTTTACAGAACTCCCTACTCACCCAGCTCTTCCAGGGATGTATTTTTTTTTTGTTTGTTTTTTACTCTGAAAATCCATGTTCCCTAAAAGTGAACATCTCTGCTCTCCCCTCTCTCGTGTCCTTACGGTTACCAAACATCTGCATTTTTACAGAACAAGTTCCTGTGTTCACTCTGCTGGTCCAAAAGGGCTGGGTAGTGATTAAAAATGCAAATGTCTACAGAATAATAGGTATGTTGTGCTTTAATGCTTTGTGGCAGGTTCATAGATTTGTATCACAGGTGTATGGATGGATAGTGTACAAAATAAATAAACTTGCACCAAAGTGAGAGAAAAAAAATCCTTTCCCTTTTGTCTCAGTTGTGGCCAGTTTCTTGTCATACTTAGAGGGGATTTTGGAATGAATCTCTTCTAGATGCTTGCTATGTGTTACTGTTTGGGTTTTTTCCCTGTAACATCAAGACTAGCAGTCCTACAGGTTTGTCTGAAGGGGAGGTTGAAGAGACATATATGCCTTTCTCAGAGCTCAGAACATGGATCCACTGCAAAAATTAACCCCCTTTGGTGAATTCCCTTTGCTTTTGTTTGCACTTTGTTATCACTGGGCCACCTTGCAGGTCCTGGTTTTTAAACTGGCTCATGTCTTCCTGTTTTTAAATACACAAAGGAAGGGGTTGGGAAGAGAGGGATGGGGCTGCCTGTGCATCACACCTCAGCTTTTGCACAGTAATACCACAAAATAAGTGTGTCTATCCTTTGTGAGTTTTGTCTAAATAAAATATATTTGTATTTGCTGTTGAGACTGACCATTCATCCCTCAGGCATCCTCTGTATCAACTAGTCTAGTGCAAATACACTGGTCTTTGTTTAAAGCCATTTGTGTCTGTTCTTTCGTGGTCTCGCTTCTGCTGGTGCCTGGTGAAGGCAGATGGAGAGGTGACTGCCTGAAGGCAGGAAAGTGGTGGAGTCACCATCCCTGGAACGGTTCAGAAATGTGTGGATGTGGCACCTGAGGACATGGTTTAGTGGTCAACATTGGTGTGATCTTCAAGGTGTTTTCCAGCCTTAACGGTTCCATGATTAGGGAGGGGTGGTGTCACTCCAAACCCGGGGGTGATGCTCCCACCCTGCTACACAGACACGGCCACTGGAGGGCTGAGAACTTCCAAAATGAAATAAAAACAGTCACAGAGCTCTAACGAAGCACCTCAGCCTGGAAAACGACAGCAGACGTCATTCCACTGTAACACCTCCCTCAGCTTAGGAAAGGCTCCTGGTTGGATCCTACCCGGGACAAAGCAGGGCTGTGCTGGAGGGCTGGAAAACGCCCTGCACGGAGCCACTCAAGGACAGTCCGTGGGAGAGGGTCCCTCCCTGCGGCAGCACCCGGGGAGATGAAAGGCTGTGTGTGCCAGTGCCCCACGTGCTGGGGCTGTGGCCGTGCATCCATCCAGGAAATCGCTGCAGCAATTCCAAGAATGTGGGGCTGAAGCCGGGGCCCGAGATAAGGCTGTTCACACAACACAGCTTTTATCAGCCTCAAGGCTAGTCTTCTCCTGCTCCTTAGTTACACTGAAAGTTGCTCTCTGCCCTTATTGTTCCAGCCTTAAGAGCTGCAATAATGAGAGTTTCTATCTCTCTGTCCTTCTCCAAATCTTCAGCTAATCGTCCTTTAGGCTGGCTCGGTCCCTGCCTGTCTTCTGGTCCCTATCTCCCACCAGCGTCTCAACAGCAGACTCAGCTATCTCAGTCCCGGTCCCGACCCTTATTTCTCCCTTGGAAAAGCAGTGCTTGACATGTCTGACCGCCCCTGGGGCACCAAGCAAGTGCCAGTCCAGGGCTGCCACATGCCCAGAGGGATTGTAACCCTGAAAGCAGTTGTCTCCTGGAGACCAGAGACTTCAGCAGAGACCAAGGCCAGCTCCAGAGCAGTGAATGTCCTGGACTGGCTCTGCTGGAGTGTACAAAAATCAAAGCCTGACCCCAGATGAATCACAGCGGGTACTGCAGCTTAACTGATCCAGGGAAGGCAAAGCTGGCCCTGCCCAGGGCCACAAGATGGGTCCTGCCAGCCTGAGAGCAGCCAGGCTCCCCTTCTGCCCACGTGGAAAGAGTTTTCCTCTCTGTTTACAAGACCAAAACTTAAAGCTCCAACATTCTGCAACTCCTCCTAAGGCAATGCCCTGTTCCTCAAGCCTCAGCCCTCCTGCAGTCAGTGAGGGGCTCTACACCATCACAGCCTCCCAGCAACCTCTGGACAGTGGCAGGGCATTGGCAGAGCTTGGGATGGAGGAAAAGACCCTGAGCTAAGGAAGAAAGAACAGGAGACTTACCCAGCACCCTTGGGCCACAGAGAGGCAAAAGCAGCACCCGGGCAACACCACGAGCAGCCCCAGGGGCTTGGGGTGTCTTATAGCAGCAGCTCAGCAACCACCACCGTCGCCAGGCAGGCTGGAGGTGAGAGCACGAGAAACCTGGTGCTGCTGATTCCCTCTTTATAGAGCAGCTGGAGCCCTGGGAGCCCCCCATCCCTCCCATTGGACCCATGGATGCAGCACACCTGGGCACCTCCCC